TGAAGATATGAAAGAGAGGCTCTGCAGTCTCTTGTAGTTATCATAAATTGCTTGGCTCTGCCGATTTCCCGATAGGCTGTCTTCAAGAAGCGAAGAATGAAAAAACTCACGTTTGGAATCATAAATAAAGACCATAGGAAAACAGATGCGGTTAAAAAAAGGTTACCGAAAGGTGTGAGACCACTCTGCCATTGCACGGGAACCAGGCACAAACAGATTGATCACGCTCGAAGCACTCGCCCGTGAAATCGAGATTTCATAAAACAAGTAGCCAAGAGAGGTACTGAGAGTGATTGATGACTGCTTCGTGAAAATGTCAAGAGGTGAATACTCTTTGTGTCCCCTGTATATTAAGAAGTTTTGCTGTGCAATTACCCTCCAAGAACTGAAGAATTAAGCGAATTGCGATCACATGTTGCAGGTCGCCTTAAGCATGTTTACAGAGGCGTATGAGGGTTTACGAAAGTAAAATTAGAAGCTATGAGTCGGTGTACATTCATAATTGAAAGCACTAGCTTTAAGCTGTTAAGAAGACGGTTCTATAGGAATGTAGCCAAAGAACAACCTTCGGCTGCAGTGTAGGGGTAAAAAAATCAAGGGTTTTGTTATACCATCTAGAACTCGGGAATGGGAAAGAGTTGAAATATCTGCAGGAATTTATTCCAGATCATGAAGTGCATGATACTTTTCCCTCTAAAGTCGAATTTGAAAAAATAGTTCCTATTAATTGGAAGGCGGTAGGCCCTAATGGAGTATTTATTAACAAGTGCTGCTTCTTACATCCAGACCTGTTCAAAATAGTAAGAGGGATTTTCCTGGATGGCAAGGAGTAAAAGGAACTACCTGTCTGATTCCAAAAGTTGTTCCAAATAAAGGCAGCAACTTTGGCTAATAATTTGCATATCAAACTTTTGACTACGAAATATGTAGGCCGTATCATGCAGTTGGATGTTGCTATGAGAAAGCTATTTGCAGATAATAAATTAGGAACTGTTACTCAGGTTCAAGGTGCAAGGGACAGGCACTGCTGGATCTGGCACTTTTCAGAGAGCACAGAAACCTGCTCTATACTATGTGGTATAACATTAAAAGAGCGTTCGATTTAGTTAATCATGGATACCTGATTAAGTGCATTGAAAGGCTTAACATGCCATCGTGGATCAGCAGGTTTCAGAGAAACATCACCTCCAGATGGTCAGTTGTCTTGAAAAGCAATAAAGGAAGTGTGATAGGGAAATAAGTACAACGAGGAATTTTTCAAGGTGGTAGTCTTTCTTCGCTGCTATTTGTCTCGTGCATGGAGCCGTTGAGCGGTTGAGTCAATATAAGGTACCCAAAAGTAGCGATTCCATCGATCAAGGAATGTACATAACGAATCATCATCCATTGCTTATGTATGATCTCAAAATTTTTGTGACCGACGAAAATATAAAGTCTATGGCCGAAGAGTTTCAAAAGTTTTTTGATGGGACACGACTAGAGATTAATCAAGAGAAGTCAGCCACTAAGACTGAGGTATGCGCTGATAAAGCGGCGCTATTGGAAGGAATTCAAGGGTATAAATACCTTGGAATATGGAACTTAGTGCACATATTCGTGAAAGCTAACGATAAAGTCCGAGCAGAGATTTTAGTGAGAATTGAGCAGTTAGCCAAAACTGCACTAAATGGCAAGAACTTTGTCAAGGCAGTAAATGAGTAGCCGTATGCTATTAAATTATTACATTGGAGTGCTCAAACTGGAATCAGAAGACTTCAAAGCTATGGGCAGACAGTTACTAAATAAAGACGGAATTCATAATCAACTTGAATGTTTAGAGAGATTGTACCTGCCAAGGAATGTGCTAGAATGTGGACTACATAGTGTTGAGCAAAGGAGTGAAATAATATTCATGATGTTGTTGTAGATACCGAGCCCATGTCTACCAGGACAGGGGAGTAATTTTGAAGAAAGAGAAATTTATAATTATTGTACCTTATCTAAAGACTAGTATTAACCTCACAGGAAATCCAACTTTTGAACACATATTGGCGGCCCAGAAAGAACTGTTGTGTAACAAAATATGAAGACATCATGCAATGCTATACAAAATGCGAACGAATAAGATCTCAATAACAGAGTCATCATTATGGCTACGATAGGGAAATATTACTCTGCAAGATAAAACGCGATATTTCCATCTTGGAACGAGCAGTATCATGTTCGGAGCTGAGAGGGGTATGTGCCAACATTGTCGGAAACGTATGAAAACGGTAGACCATCCGGCAATACAGTGCAAAATAATGCTTCATCATGGCTATACTAGAATTATGAATTCTGAATTCTAGTATAGTCTTGATGAAGAATGTTGAAATCAGAGTCGATACGCGAGTAAGAGTAGTTGTAGAGATAAGTGTGGATCGACAGGATATCATAAGAAGCGACATAAAGTAATTCTGATCACTAGTCAGAACAGAATGACTGCAGTCGAGATCGAGAAAAGGCAAAAGTATGACATGAAGTCGCTAATAAACTCGAGTCAGAGATGACATGCAGGACATAAATTTTGTATGTGATGACTTGGGATGAGATTAAAACGAACTTCCATAAATGCCACGGGAAGGAAATTAGTATATCTGTCCTGTTGAGACATATGTTCAGACAGTAGTGCTCAAGAAGATGTTCGGAAGCATCTATTTGATCACCGTTGTGGATTCCATAAGGCAGCAAAAGAGATTGGCACAACAAATCTGAGCGCGAGTCAAGTACAACCAAAATGTCGGAATACGACTCAGCGCCAGAATCGATAACGCAGAAAAGATTAACCTCTAGGTGAAATCTCTATGTATGATAAAATGATATGAAGGAACTGCAAGAGTGCTTTTTATTGTTGGTCAGTGGTCAAAAACGAGGATAGCTTTGAGCCGATTTTGTATTAGATTGTTTGTAATGCGACGTAGATAATTTTCAAGTCTGCTGGTTGTGCTGATTTGTATAGCTTTGAATATATTGCAGCCTCCAAGAGGTATTTTGTTGTACGGTCCGCCTGGCACTGGGAAAACACTAATAGCTCGAGCTGTTGCGAATGAGACTGGAGCTTTTTTCTTTCTTCTGAATGGTATTTTTTTTCTCTTATTGTTACAAATTAAGGCTTACCTATTGCGTTAATAATGCATATTGATGTTCATTGTTTATTTCATATTTCAGGACCCGAGATTATGAGCAAATTAGCTGGTGAGTCAGAATCCAATTTACGAAAGGCATTCGAAGAATGTGAAAAGAATTCGCCCGCAATTTTATTCATAGACGAACTTGATGCTATTGCACCGAAACGTGAAAAGGTATTTTTATTAGCTATAGAGTTCTCACTGAATAGTGTTTTGTCCTAAAGTTGTCTCAAAATGTTGTGTTATGAAGATTCACTCATTTAAAGTGTTTACATTTTTCAAGTCGTTGGAAAGAGTGTTTCTTTATTTCAAATAAAATGAGGTAAACGGGTTAATATCAATGAGCCATTGTCAGACTCATGGCGAGGTTGAGCGTCGTATTGTATCCCAACTTCTTACTCTAATGGATGGTTTGAAACAACGCAGTCATGTTGTTGTTATGGCAGCAACAAATCGACCCAACTCGATTGACCCTGCATTGCGTCGCTTCGGTCGTTTTGATCGCGAGATTGATATTGGAATTCCAGATGCAGTTGGAAGATTAGAGATACTTCGTATACATACGAAAAATATGCGCCTTGGCGATGATGTTAATTTGGAGCAGGCACGTTCTTTTATTGGGGGATAGAACATACATATTAGCAAAAATTTGATATGCACCGATTGGAAGCATATTTTCAATATTAGCCATTTTAAATCATATCTAGGTTTTTGCAGAACTTATTGCTATGGTAAACATGTTATTTTTACTGCATGTTTTGAGTTACATATTATTGTTAATACCGAGGCATAAGAAAGCAAGTTATGGATCTATTGCTAGCATGCTGATACTAACCTCGAAGATAACCTTTTCTTGCATTGCGAACAGAGCAGTTGTTTATTTAACACAGCTCAAACAATTGGTCTACTGCTCTATGCAAACAGATGACGCTCTATACATTATCTTTTTCACTGACTGAATTGCAGAATTCATATTTTAAAAAAATCGGAGCTTACTCACTTTCCATGGATTCAAAAATACTAGATTTTATACAGTTTAGCAGTGATTTATTATGGCTCAGAAAACCTGCATTGTCTGCCTTAAAGTGATCACAAAATTCAAGGTTGCGAATGAATGCCATGGATATGTTGGTGCTGATTTAGCATCTCTTTGTTCTGAAGCAGCGTTGCAACAAATTCGGGAAAAAATGGAGTTGATAGATTTAGAAGATGATACTATAGACGCAGAAGTTTTGAATTCTTTGGCTGTTAATATGGAGAACTTTCGAGTTAGTTCATTTCTTAGGTGATTCAGTATTAATGTATTTCTGAGTACATAGTTAGAATTTACTGTTCGCTTTTATTTTTGTATGACTCACAAATTTCCTCATCTTTTCCAGCTTACTTTGTAATGAAGTTTGTTTTTAAACACTTATGGAAAGTGTCCAAATACTTAGTGGTATCATAGAGGATTCTTAAGCTCATATTTATGGGAAGTTTCAATTTTTGTGATAAAGTTTTAATGCTTATTTTCTTTGTTGCTAAGGAGACCAAGAAACTAGTGTCGACGAAGAAAACAAGATCTAGGCTTAAAAATAACCTTATTATGAAATGAATGGTTTTATAAATCACATCTCTTTTTTTAGTTTGCGATGGGTAAAAGTAGTCCATCAGCTCTTCGTGAGACTACTGTCGAAACACCAAATGTTACCTGGGATGACATTGGCGGTCTACAAAATGTTAAGCGTGAACTCCAAGAACTTGTCCAGGTCGAGTGTTTTTTGCAGTCTTATATGTTAAATATTTCAGTTGTCAAGAAATCATGAAGTAAGATTTTTTGCGAGTAACAAATTACGTTTCCTCTTTTTCTATAAATTTCGATTCCCAGCTTTCACTCTTGAAAAAATTTAAGGCACTGAAGAATACTTCTACAAATTTTGGAAGGTAAACAAATATTATTTTTCAGTATCCTGTAGAACATCCAGATAAGTACCTAAAATTTGGAATGCAGCCATCTCGTGGTGTATTGTTTTATGGTCCTCCTGGGTGTGGTAAAACGCTTCTTGCTAAAGCTATTGCGCATGAATGTCAAGCTAATTTCATCTCTATTAAAGGTCCTGAGCTACTCACCATGTGGTTTGGTGAATCTGAGGCTAATGTTCGGGATGTTTTTGATAAGGCAGGCTTTCTTCTCAGCATTAGTTTATCTCTTTGATTAGTTTACTATCACAATTGTTTTATAAATAATGTGATTACTACTATTACCTTCTACTTCTTGAAGGACATCATTTACAGGCTCGAGCTGCGGCACCATGCGTGTTATTTTTTGATGAGTTGGATTCTGTTGCTAAAGCGCGTGGTGGGAACATCGGAGATGCAGGCGGTGCTGCTGATCGTGTGATTAATCAGATTTTGACAGAAATGGATGGAATGTCAAACAAGAAGAATGTTTTCATAATTGGTGCTACGAATCGGTTTATCTAAACCTTCTTTTCATATTTTGTGTGTTGTTATTAGTGACGAACTTTTGATATTTGAAATGATTACAAAAGAATGTTGCATTAAGCGATTGTCAATCTCATTTAACTTCGCTTCTGTTTTCTTATTAGACCAGACATTATCGATTCCGCTATTCTTCGTCCAGGGCGTCTCGATCAGTTAATCTATATACCTCTTCCTGATGAAGCTAGTCGTTTGCAGATATTCAAGGCTAATCTCCGCAAAACACCAATCGCCACGGTCAGTTTCCATACATCAGTTTGATTTAAACTTCAATATCACTACAAAAATTTTTAATTGAGAGAAATCTAATTTAAGGATGTGGATTTAACGTATTTAGCGAAAACGACTGTTGGCTTCTCAGGGGCTGATTTGACAGAGATTTGCCAAAGAGCTTGCAAGCTTGCAATCAGAGAAAGCATTGAAAAAGAAATTCGGCATGAAAAGGAAAAACAAGAACGGCGTGCTCGAGGTGAAGAACTGATGGACGAAAATAGCTATGATCCAGTGCCCGAAATCACTCGTGCTCATTTTGAAGAGGTTTGTATGTTTGTGGTGCTGTAAGTAATTTTACTAGTGGATACAAGTTATTTAAGTATAGCTGCTGTCGATGTACTGTTATGAGAAATATGGATTTGATCTGCTATAATTTGCAGAATCGTTTTAAGCCTCTCTGGTATTTAGATGTAATTCAAATATTTTTTTCTTTCTTTGTAGGCAATGAAATTTGCTCGTCGCTCTGTTTCTGATAACGACATCCGCAAGTATGAAATGTTTGCCCAAACCCTGCAGCAGCAGCGTGGCTTTGGAACTAGCTTCAAGTACATCTTGATTCTGTCAAGTTCTTATTGACATATATTTTTATTTGTTTCATATTTTTGCAATTCCTAAATGTTATGTTTTTTCATGTTCTTTGATGAGGTTATTTCATACTTTTAAGATTTCCCAATCAAGCCGGAGCACCAAGCCAAGGACAACCAGGCGCAGCTGGAGTGGGAAACGACGATGACGATTTGTATAGCTAAAGTTATCTTTAAATAGTTTGGTCTTTTCAAAAACATTTTTTTCAGTTATTTTGTGTAAGGTCTGCTTTATTATTGGATTTGTATTTGTCGTTTATAATATTAATAGGCTTGTTGCGGAAGTTTTTTTCTGATAAAAGCGTTGAAAAAGTCTTTAAGTGGGAATAAGCGTTCATTCCCACTTTTGTTGGTTTATAAGTGTCGGTTCTGTTGTTGAAAAATGAAAATTTGTTGCCAAAATAAATGAGGGCGGATTTGGTTGAAACGACTTAACGCTGTTTTGTTGCATATATTTCTTGATCTGGAAGCCGGCAGAGTTTTATATCGATTTTCGTAATAAATCAAGTTTAGGGTTCCATGTTTTAGAAGTGATACTTCACTGCTGCAAAGTATGTGCGAAGAAAAGTGTAGTTTAAATTGTTTCTATTATTTTTTATTTATATTTCCACTTCCATAAACAGCATAAATAAAGAGCTCTGTGGCAAATATTTTATTTCTTAAATCTGCTGCTTTGATCATGAATTATTTGGCTATGGAAGGAAGTTGTTATTGGAAATTCCTTTTCGGAACAGTCGTCGGTATTCGTTTGGAGGCAACTACGAGTATAGGCAGCATTGAGATAAAATATTGACTTCTTGCTTTGCAGTTTTTTAGTAGGTCGTCCTGACCTGTCACTTTTTTTGGGGTACCTCTTGGTTTTGTTCCAAGTATTCGAGTTATATCAAGAAATCGGAATTGGTGCTCACGGTTTTTTGTGTATGTAGAGATAGGAGCCAATCATTTTTCAGGAATTTGAAACAAGAACATGAGATGTTCCAGATTCCGGTCATAATATTGCATATTTGAGTATGGTTACAATATTGATGTAGAGTTAGGTTTTGTCATAAAAGCGCAATGTGAGTGCGATTAGATGGCTAGATTTTTGTAACGGGATAATTCCTCATTACATACGTTATTAATTCCTCTACAGTATATGATTCAGTGTCTCGAGATGAACATGGTTTTGCTGTCGGAAATTTGCTTGTTTGAAGCAAGTATCTCTATTGGTGAACTTCTTACGTATAACACGTCTGTTTCTGTATGGAAATGTTTTTGAAGGCGATATGCCCATGTATATATTGTATGAACAATGGTTGTTGGTTCGGAAGCTTACACAGATGCAGGCAGCATTGAGAGAATGGAATATTGCTTCTCGCTTTACAGTTTTTTGCAGGTCATCATTGTGCAGTTAGTCGTTCTATGTCTCGTAGTTTGGAGTTCTTAATATCTACCTTAAAATCTATTTTCAAAATGGTCATTCACTGCACGATGTGCATGATAAAGTACTCAAGTGTTTTGTTCTTTTTCTCCATTGAAGTTGTATGAGATTCCTCATATGGTTTTCAAGAGTGATTTTGTCGACAAGCCAATTTTGTGCTTCCAAAAATCAGGATTTTGTAAGGGTGCATTCTAAGATGAAGTTTTTGAGTTTTAGTTGGCACTATTCTGGTCCATACTACATCTTTGGGTGATGGTGGGTCTCGCAGTACTTTTTATCGAAATGAGATGGAAATCATAAATAGAAGTGTTAAGCACCATACGGATGTGCAAAGCATATTAGTTCCGGGCTTATATGTCCAGTTATTGTACGAGACGCATAATAATTTAAGCGTCGACTTATCCCAAAAGGTAGGGGTGAAGTAGCGTTCAATGCTAATTGTACTTCTGCTGGTAGTTGTGCCATGTAAGATATTTTACTATATTTTGTAAAATTACTTTTATTGTCATTTTGTGCTTTTCTTGCAGTACATCAGAGGAATGCAAAAAAATTATTAACATTTAAGTTGGATATAATCTGGGATGTAGTAGATAGATAAATAGGTCCAGATAATTGGTTGCATTTGGGTATGTTCTAAAATGGTCATGGAATTCAAGCTTACATCATTCTACTGGTCTTAATGTGTACTTGTATTATGTAATGTTAATAATTATTTGCAATGGTGAATTGGTGGAGTATAGAAGTTGCATTTCAGATATATCTTTTGTTTGCATATTTCTATTTCTTCGCCATGTTAATCTTTTCAGAAAATTATCCGAGCTAGCGAGCAGGGCTGTTTAACAAGCTCGTGTCCTTAATTTTAAGAGAAAAGTCTTTCATTTCCTTTCCTTTCTATTTGTAACTAGCCGTAATTTTGCTCTCAATCACTCACTGCGAAATTTCTCATGCTAATAAACTCCTTTAAATCCAATTCCACCGTCGAGTAATGTGTTTGGTTAGTACTGAAGACTTTTGCTAAATACATGCTAGTTGTTTTTTTCTTTTAGTGCTCGATCATTTACAGAAGGAACAGCACAAGCTCTTCGAAATGTAGAAAGTGCTTCTCCTAAGTTTAAATGCCATGAAATGAGCAAAATTTCCAGAAATCAGATTTTCTGGCCTACAAATGTGAAGTATGAAACTGATGAATAAACAACTCTGGGAACTCATCGTTATGGTGCATAGTGATATGAGTACTGATTTTTTGTAAAGAATAGAGATCATTAATAACTCTATGTAACTAGTTTCAAGTGTTAGTAAAATATATTGAAAACCGAAGTACTTGCATCAGTTAAAATCGTATTCTGCAAAGAATATTCAGCTAAAATTAATTGAGTTTGTAAGTTGCAAGTGCGACCATCATTGGCAAAATTTTCATAGTACAAATAAAATGTGCAAAAATGATTTGAAGTGGATAGATTACTGTATTATAAAATCAGAAAAAATAATTGCCTTACATTAAATGCGATATTTTGGCTTTAGTTTGTGGGGAAATGTGTGACTGTTAGATTCCTTGTCTCATTATATTCTAATCTAGGTTGATAAATATATCAATTTTTCCTTAAAACATTTGATTGGATGGGCATCAGTCCACTTGAAGAACTGAGAAATAGATGGCCGTCCTTTTGCTACTTTCTACAAATAGTAAGTTTGTTTTCAAGTAACGAAAGAATGCAGTTAACTATAGAGTGTCGAAATGCATGCTAATATTGAAGAACCAAATATCTGATCAAAAATCAATTGTATTTGCAGGCATGAATTGTACTTGTTTACATCTAAATCACTCGATAAATGAATCCTATTGGATTATAAAGTCGATCGCTTCTCTCAAATTACATAAATTTTGTCAATAAATCTAATTAATGAATGGAGGACAGAAGTTTGATGTCAAGAATTTTGATAAGCAAAGACGTGCTGTCATAAATAGAAAATTGATTTGTCAAAACCGTTGGATTGCTTTAGTGATAAAAAAGACAGGGGAAAATGCTACACAACAGTAAAGACTACACAACAGTAAAGACAAAAACCAGTTTGAGCAATCAGTAATTTAAGGGGATAAGTAATTAAGGTCAGCGGAATGGTATGTTGGGGCGTTGCGAAGACAATGACCAGTGAAGGTCCTCGTTTACAGCTACTTCTGTCAACGAACATCGATTAGACAATTCACTCTTTCTTATTTAACTCTATCTCATTTAATCATTCTGTTACCAGCGATGTCTTTGAATGATGTATGATGTATTGTTTAATTTGACGCATTTTGGTATTCATCAATAACAAACTAAAATTTCAAGCATTTATCAGTATTTCACTATAGTCTGCTGTAAGCAGACAAATACGAAATGTTCAATCCTTTCTAGTCATCAAAAACTTAAAACTGTCAGCCTTTTCTCAAGTTTTTGGTAAACAGTCAACATTTAGACTCAAATGAGACATTAATGGGAATTAAAATAATTATCAGTTAGGTGCTATTTCTGGATGATGTTTGTTATGGTTTTTAAGCATATTAAATATAAATGACTCACTTTACTAATATTTGAATTTTCACCCGTACAGCTAAATTTTGGTTCTGTCTGAGTCATTTATCCCTTGAGCACTGACAGTTTGTTTTGAAAAAAAAAGTAAATAAGTAAATAGGTAAAGGAATGAATCAGTTATACATATAATATATTCCATTTAGTACAGTGATTTCCATTTTTCGGAGGTTATTATTCTTCATTATTGATTCTGGCGCTGGATCGTTTTCTGGCATTCTCCTGCACTCGCCCTCTGCTCAGTTCTGCTGTGTTCAGATACACTTCGTTTTGAGATGAAGTGCAGATTCGTTCTGCACTTCATCTCTTCCCCGAATTTATTAGCCAGTAAATCATACTTTCGCTTCCTTTTGAGGACCTTCACTGGGCATTGTCTTTTGGTCTCGACTGCTATCAACCTGTCCTGACCAGTGACGCCAACCTTTATCAGGAGTACTTCGTGTCGCTTCTTGCCGTACGCTAGGATGTCGGGTCGATACGCCCTTATTTTAATTGCAGTTCTTACTCGCGTATAGGTTTTAGTTTACACATTCTCGTTAGCGACGATTTCATGAGCAGAATCGCTTCGCGTGCACGGGAATGCTCTCAAACCATACTTCTTGCAGAGTTTCAAATGAATGCATTCGCAGGACCTCATTGTGTCTTCTAGTATAGTCGTGATATAATATTTTTTGGCACTACGTTCCCAGATAGTCCACCGTCTTCACAAGTTTCCCACAATGTTGGCACATTTCTCAGCTCCAAACATATTTTTATCTTGAAGATGACACTATCGCACTTCATCCTTTGGTGTAAGTTTCAGCACCCAGTGTAATAATTTATTCCGAATCGTAACCACATTGATGAATCTGACATTGAGGCCAGCTCACCACTGCGCATTTTGTATAGCTTTGCATGACGAATTTTCTTTTCCATTTTGCCATATGAAAGCGCTTTCTAGGTTGCTGATACGTTTTCGACGGTTGGATTTACTACGACATTGTATTTAGTCAATAACTGTTATGTGTTGTGAGCTTTTCCCTGCTTCAAAATAGTCGTTCTCCTGAGTAGATAAGGGCGCAGTATCTACAAGAACATTATGTAGTTGGAGAAACATAAGCTCACTCTTCTGCTCAACATTATGAAGTCTACATTCTAGTTCATCTGTTAGCAGGTACAGTCTCTCCAAACATTGGTTGGATGTGAATGACGTATTTAGTTAATAATTGTCTAATATCATGATCATTTGCTTGATCTGGTTCCAGTTTGAGTATCCAGTATAATATTAAACCTCTGGGATGTTCATTTACTGCCTTAATGAAGTTCTTGCCGTTTAGCACAGTAATATGCATAATAAGCCAAATCATAAAGATATATATATATAAATTTTAAATCTGTAAGTTAAGAATACGCTGACTAGCTAACCTCTTCAGTGGGTAAATTCTGATTCTTGAAAATTATTGCGATAATCAGACAGTTTTTTCAGTACTCCATAACATCCTAAAATTTTGGAACTAAACTATTTTCAAGCGATTATTGGCGAATGATGCCTATCGAGCTTTTTATTTTCTCACTATTGTTTGTCAAAGGTACTTCATACATGTTATGCAATGGCAGTAACAAGAATTATAATTGAAGTGTTCATTACGACTACATTTATTCAATTAATAAACCAATGATTTGGTCACGATTTTCCATTAAATTATCCTTAATATGAAAATCAAAATGAATGGATATTAGAAATTAAAAAAAACATCGTAAAATGCCAAGTTAAGCATGTAGGGAATGACTTTCATTCCTCTAATCAATGTTTGGATTGGCCCTCACCACAGAAATCAATTTCAGTGTCATGCGATCAATTTTCATACACTAAATTTACTAGTAACAAGCAGTCACTTGATTACGCTAAAAATCTGCATATTTACTGGTATTTTCACGCTGTGAAAGCATTGATCGTTCAACTTGGCAAGCAACTGATGCAGAAACTTCCACAAGGTGTGCTAAAGTTCTTGTTTTGATAAAAATTAGTGTCTGTTGTTTAGCAGTTTTAAAATTTTAAAAGAATACAAAAACAATAAAACCGTGATTATTTATATGTTATTCTAATGTAATTTTTGCCAGTGCAGTTAATCGCGTATTAGCATTTGCATTTATGCCAATGAAGTACAAGCAATAGCTTGGAATTTAAGCAGCATTGTCAAGAACAAAAAATTCTGAAATATTTTAGATGAAAAACTTTCGCTGGCAATTTGTCTTGATGGTATAACTGATGAACGAAATCTCTCGGCTGCTGCAAGATGCTTAACTGACGCTCGGAAAAAACTAAGGAGAAATTCGATGAGTTTATTCCAGACAATGGATTCTTCCATACACCGAAAAAACAACAAATATTTTGCAAAAAAATATCAAGATTACTTCCGGAAATATAAGAGATACTTTAATCAACAAGACACATTTTTTAGTGGTCAGAAGATCTCCAACAAAAATTTATCAAAGTTCAGGAAAATAAACTCTATTAGTGATCAACGTGAAAATCAAAAAATATCAAAAGTGGACCAAATTGATCCTACAAGACGAGTCCGTCAGAAAACGCAAAGTATTCACAAATCTAAAATTGAAAAATGAAAGGATGATTTTCTCTCGATCAAGATTCTGAAAAGCTACGGAATATTGTAAAAATTGTAATTTTGATCACATTTAATTTTTTTTGGTGCCATTTTTTGTTTTCCAGTAAATATGACAGCAGTTATTTCCAATCAAGAACGGGAAAAACGTAGTCCACATCGACTGATTACAAGTCACGCAATGAAAAGTGATAGCATTATTATGGATGTGAGATTTTTTGATTTTAGAAGTTTTGCTTATGAAATAAAATTAGCTGTGAGAAAATAAAAGGTGTCTACAACATTTTGAGCGTTAAATTTCAGATTAAGAGTAGTTCAAGACAGCCCGCTTTAATCGACGCCAAATTATCTGCAATACAGAAAGTAATGTTTTGATGAGAATTTTGTTCTTAATCATTCTTAACATTGTTTATATTCACTTGAAATTTTTTTGACACTGTTTCTAGTCATTTTTTTACAAATTAGTTACTTGCATCGCATGCAACTGAAAGTTGCTTTTTTTATAACTTCTCATGTTCCGATTGATTATTAGAGTAAATGAAGTTGATTAGAGTAAATGAATTATGAGTTGAATTTCCTCCATAATTTCTCTATATTTTTTAAATATAATGTTGAATGCACGGAAATATTACAGATAACTAAACTTATACGCATCCTATATCATGGCACCGAACAAACAAGCAACTGGATTACAACTTATAATCGCATATTAAAGTTTAAAAAAAAGCTTGATGAAAACTTTAAACCATCAGGCACAAAGGTTTATCGTTCTCGGCTCCATGATTTGATACTAGAATATGAATACTCTCCGAAAGCAAAACGAAAAACCAAACAATTGAGTATTTCTCTAAAAAGATTCATCTATAATCGAATTTTTAAATTAATGGTGCAAATTATCGAAGTTTTAGACATTGTGCTGCATTTAGTTGAAGGAAAAACAATGAAAGATATTAATTATATTTATGCTTTTTATAGAATTTGTTAGCAAAAAAGTCAGACAGAAAAAAAGATTGACTTTTTTTGCTTAAAAAGCCAGAATACTACAAATATATCATCGGATTTATCAAATCAGATTTTTTAATTGCTTGAGAAGATGAATTTCGAAAATATATTTATTACTCTATTAGAGATAAAGACTTCTTTTTGAGGTTCATCATTAAGCTTGTGAGATTAATTATCTTTTTAAAGTGCAGATTACCAATATCTGAAATGCAAAAGCTCACAAAAAATTTTTCAAAAGTATTGTGACACATGATTTAACCTAAATGATGCCTGAAATAATTCCTTTGATAGCTACCTAAATAGAATTATGCTGTCTCTTTTAAAGTTATATTCACGGTGAAAATTTTACGTTTAGTTTCTGGTCGTTTTCAGTAAGTTCATCAAAGGTTAAATTCCAGATCAGCAATAACGATCTACTGATGATGACATTTAATTTTGCGCAAGAAAATTTCCGCAGTTCGAGTGCCCATAATAATTTCAACTTCAAATTTCTTAGCCCAAGACTGATGCCTGTCATGCCAGACAAAGTAGGTTTTGAATATTTTTTTATGTCTCATAACTCAAAGCATATTACGAATCATTTACTAATTTCAATTTACAATTTCATTTCAGATGAAATCAAAAGAGCGGTTTTTGTCCCCATCTCTCTTATCGTTTTATAATGATGAAAGTACTGATAGCATTGCAGACATTCCTAAGGTATTATTACTACAAACCATGATTGATAAAGTCTATGGATTATCAGAATTCTTGCAAATTTGGTCTTTGTTACTGGAAACAATTTTAAAATAATCCAAAAATTCCATGTGAAAATAAATTATATCATTATTAGAATTTCCTAGCATTTTGTTTCATTATTTTTTACCCTTCCTCATTTGACTCTGATAGATTTTTTCAGCTTTTATTCCTTTAACTAAACACAAATTTTTTTGTTACCAATTTGTAATTTTATGTATAATATTATCGAAGAAAGCATCGTATGAACAGCCAAGTTTGATTGTTGTGATTAGTTTGATAACGAGATTGTAATTATACATTATTAGGTGTCTTTACCTTGATGGATGAAATCAATGTATGTTATAAAATTTTGAAATTTTATGACAGTTTCTGGTTGCTGAGACGACCTATTAATCTTACGTTAACCCTAACTTTTAAGTCTGCAAGACAATAAAGGAAGTTTTTCGTGAGGAATTAAGACAAATCCGAAGATTTAACTATAATTAAGAGTTTTGTATTTAGTGAATGTGCACATTGAGCATCTGATGCAGTATTTAAAAAAATAGGGAATGAAAATTTTGTAATTAAGACATATGAATAATGCTGTCATGAAAATAAATGAGAATATTTGGTGCTGAGCTTATAATGATTATATAACTTGGATAGCTGTTGGAAAAAGCAGAAATAACGGAGAAAGATCGAGAAGCAATTTTGGAAATGATCATGGATATTTCGGGAGCCAAAAAAGCAGTGGAATTTGCAATGGATTTATTCGATAAAAGAAAGTGGTATGGCTTAGAAGACAAATTTTTTGAGGTAAATTATGTAAAAATATTTGGCATAATATCATTTGAAGGGTTTTAATTTTAGGTGTCGTCAGATTAGCTTTTGGTTATGAAGTGTATTTATTGATTATGTGAATTGAATGAACTGAATACTTCTTGCAATCTCTCAAATTAAAGGCTTGAATTAATCATAAAAACTAAACTAGTGAAGTCATTCCTATTGACTTTATAGTTTTAAATGAGAAAGATGCATTATTTTCTCGAAATAAAAGAATTCAGGTCACACAAAGGCTTGCTGACGTGTTTAAACTTTTGGAACAGACGCTGAATAAACATCAAACTAGTGAAATCAATAGCAAAGGATTCACTTTCATGGAAGTAGAACAGTACAAAAAGATGCTAGCCGCTCACGGTACTTATTACTTCCATGGTTGTAGAGAGTAACTTCGGTAATTTACATTATCAACAGACCGAGTCTTGCTTTCAGTTTCAATGCAGTACTAACTTTTAAACTCCGAGTAATTTTTCAAACTGTTTAATTTTGATCTAATATCACTCAATTATTTACATCTTTATTGTTATGCTCCAGTTAATATCAGCAACATTAGTAAGAAATATATTATTATTTGCATTGATTACCAAATTTATTCTCTTGTAAAAAATCATTTTAATATAGGACCTAAATTAAAGTAAAATTATTTGTTCAAACTTCACTAATTTCATAAAAAAGAAACCTAAATTTGTATCTGAAAACATGAAGTAATAAAAGATTTCAGGAGTAAACAACACTGAAGAAATAGAAGTAGAACTGAGTCGATACAAGCAACTAGATGGACGGAAACGTGAAGAGAGTTTATGGAACTGTATTGAGACAATAGCTAGAAATAACAGTCAGGTCACTGCTTGAAACATTTGAAGAATGAAAGTTGAGATAAACTGAGAAGAGCTGAACTGAACTGAATTGAGCTTAATTGGACAGTGATAAGTATATGACGGGTTTCGATTTAAAGAAATATTTTAAGATATACTGACTTATAGTTCTGCTCGATGGCATCTTGTATGTAAGCAAGTTGACAAGGTGTCATTTCAGATTGCTGGAAAACGTAGAAGACGTGATTTAGTCTCGATAGCCAGCCCCTTCTTGCTCTCGCCTTATATGTTTTCTCCAGTTTTTGGTCTAACTATCTTGGGTCCTGTGGTACTCTCTCCTAACATCTTCAGTCCGCTGGTGTTCAACCCCTCACTGGTCAGTCCGTTCGTGCTGGACCCTGCAATTGCAATGCCCTTCGTGATTAGTCCTTACATCTTGTCGCCATATGTGTTGACTCCTATGGTTATGGCCCCATTTATTCTCAATCCGTACATTTTGTCTCCTAATGTGCTTACTCCGTACGTGCTAAGTCCCGTCGTTCTTAGTCCATATATCCTTTGTCCAGATGTATTATCACCACAAGTTCTCGGTGGTGCTATTTTGTCACCAAGCGTCTTCTCACCTGCTGTCGGTACGGAGAGCTTTCTAATGGCAAATATTCTGTCTCCAACTTGGATGTCATGACCTATTTTTTATTTGATTTTGCATGAAGTTTCTCAGTAAAGTATTTCCTTCAAATCATATTTGTCATTTGATTAATGCTATCGACACTCTCATACTTGGTAAAGTTTATCAGTGCTAAAGTTTTCAGATATTGAACCTTGTTCTTAAAATATCCAGTTTCTTTCAATCATATGTATTTGGTGGGCCAGTAGTTATTAAATTTAAGCTCTATTGATCTAATTCAAAAAAAAATGAAATAGCACATTTTTTGAAAAAATGATTTGTATGCTCGTTTTGACTATCAGGTTTGTTTTTATCGTGGGAAAACATTACTGATATCATGGCGAAAAAATAGGGCACACAAGTAGTAATGTTGTCTTTAATATCCAGTGAATAAACCAACATTATTTTACTCATGGGAACTTAAAAGAACAATGTCGGAATGGAGCGAGTGTAATATTGCCATTATCTTTCTCTCGCAGTCATTTTGTATCTGCTTTGTACGATCTAATATTTCATTGTATTGTTTTGCCGTACTCGTGTGTGTCATCAAATCTGAACATCTAAAAAATACAGTTATTTTTGTTCAAATTTTAAGTCTATCTCAGTGCTCTCTTATGCTTACAAATACTTGTAATTTATTTTTAGTCTTAGATACCAAACCTCAACAATTTAAAAATAGTAATATCAAATTGGAATTCTGATAGAAAATTTCGGAATTATAGAGATCTTACGTAACTAAACTGTATCAAAAAATTCTTTTAACTGAGAGGTCCTGTAAAGGTTATGAATGGTTATCATTATTCATCTACACCACAACCATTATTAAAAAATTCATTCTTATCAGAATCTCAACTGCCAGCTGCTCCTTTTATCAAATGTTACGCACAAAAAAGTCTTAGGAGAACTTACTCATCATGACTTGGACAACACTGCTTCATCATCGCACATTGTTCTTTAATTGGAGCTGTTCTAGCAATGCAATAATCATTAGCATTTTGCCGTGTTATCAGATGAACAAAGTTATCTTGATTGCTACCATTCTCAATCTCCACAAAGGTATTTAACATCAACGTTTCACAGATGACTTTCTAGATTTTGGAAATCTATTGGCAAATTTCATCTTATAATGTCACATTTTTTATTTTTCATGTAAAAATTTTTTGTGAGGATTGGTAAGATAGTTATTTTGGCCACTTCATACATACAGAAGCTACGATAGCATGAGAAGTCACGTTCTTGCAAAAAAAGTTAGTTACTATGGTATAGAGGCATCATACCATTGTCATGATACTTTTTTTGTTAAATCATTACAAATGAGATGATTAATTTTAGTCTGTTGCAATTGAAAATATTGCTAGTGAATGTATTAAGTGCAAATGTCGACAGAGTCAGGAATTAAATTCAATTTCATATTAAATTGTTGAAAGCTAAATACTGACGGAGCGATTGTTTCAAGGGTGGCTTCTGTAAACTATTATATTCTTTATCCTTTCAAGGAAGAAAGAAGAAACTCTTACAGCCACAACCTTTACTTCAGCTCCTTAATTATTTGTAATATATATTCAAAGTCAAGAATTCTAATATACTCATTGTATTTAAATTATCTCAAATTAGTTAAAATGGACAAAACTTCTATTAATGAAGGCTTATGTTCTGACTTCAATAATATTCATTAAAACTATCGAGCGGTGATTTTCACTTTTTTCTTCTGCTAAAAAATAAACCTCTTTGATAATTAATATCAATAATTACGATAAACAATTAGAAAGTTTTGAATAATACAGGTCTCAGTAACTTACATCATGAATAGGAATCAGATTCCGAGTAGAAGCAGCTCGATACGTACACGATTTCAGCCTTGATTTCATTTCATCAAGAAGCTCAGCAAGCTACAATCAGCTCAAATTTTTATCGACTCATGGGAAAGATATTACTAAAATAATTGACGTTATTCAAATTATTCTACCTGCTGCAAAATGATACTTGTTATTGGTCTCATGCAAGCCTTGGAGACAGCTTCTGTTGCTCCAGTCAAAACAGAATTAATCATTAGTTCAGCCTGTACTGACATGTTAGATAATCCCATTTTACTTTCTATAAATAAAAAACTCAAGTTTTCTACCTCAGTTTCAGTTCCTTCTAAACTTCCAAATTAACCACATCATTCAAATTTCACTATTTATGAAGACTAATATTTGAATTTCACATGTCAAGAAAGAAAAAACCATTTGAAGGCAAAAATTGTAAACATTAGCAAATAATATTAGTAGATATTTGTGATGCCGTACATAAAGAACTTAAAACTATGATCACATAGGTAAACTTTTAAAACATACCTCAAATCTTATTGTTATTAGTTTTCTATCGTTACTGATTATAAACAAATTCATCGCATGCAACTGTCATATCTTAAATCGTTGCCATTTGGAGAATTATTATTTTTATCTATTTGATCTTTTTGGTTTGTTTTTAATCTCTTATCTAATCTTTACTATCATTCATAACTAGCTATGATGTTTCCAGCTTAGCTATAACTTATAATAAACAAACCAGACATCAAGTTTGGAAACACATTTTGTCGTTGGCACTCTAGTTCTTTTTGCTTCGACTTCTCCTCACAAGCCAGTAAATTTTCGCAAAAAGATAAACTTTGTCTCTAGAATGTGCACATCTCTAAATATTGTCAGCAACACTTTGAATCATTATAAGTTTCTATAACTTTCAGAAATACTTTGATTTTCGATTTAACAGATTTATGGTTTCATTGCCAGATAGTTGCAGACATGAAAATTTATTTATCAAGCTCTGTGCTATCCGGTTCATTTAGATTTTAATCTCTTAAATGAGTGTGAGTCATAGTAAGGAAACCTCAGTCAAATGTACCAAATCCACGGCAGAGAATTGCGATGCATCCTTTTCATTCACTTTATTCCATAATTCCTTTGATACTTCACTTTCATTAACTGATGGATTGTATGGAACAGTTGTTAATTCGGTTTCTTCAATCGAAATAGCTGATACATTTTTTAATTTCGGGAAGAGAATCTAGAAATAACAGTGTTAAAGAAACTATAGGATTAGAAGAAATTAATAGTTTCTAATTTGTTCGATTTTATATGTATCCAATTTTTGCTATTTTCGAAATTACTTCTCTTTTACACTCTTTTAATCTCGATGAACACTAATAAAAATAATTGCCCATCACTTCATTTGCCAAAATTTTTCTTTGCTATTATTTCAAAAAGTTTTCAGTTTCATTAGAACTAGCAAATTTTTATAAAAACTTTGAATCTGGTGGTTGAATTATTAATTGAAGAAACTAATTAATTAAAGAATTTATTCCTTTTCCTCTACTTAGTTTCAGTTTTTTAATCCAGAATCAAAACAAGAGCAACGTACTGCAAAAATTTTCGGTGAAAGAATTTCATTTAAGCTAATTTTGCCTGATATATCAGGTTTTTTGTCTTCAGTAATTTTTGTCGTTGAAGGAATTATCGGTGTAGTATCTTGGAGACTAAATTTTGATGATTTTGTTACTTGTGCTGAAGTTAATGATTCGGATTCAAAATCTGTTAATAATGAGGTGTCATTTGATAGAAGTACTGCGGTCTGTGAAATGTGATCATTTTTACTTGAGGCGCTAATCCGTTGTGTGTATTTTTTTTCCGGAACTTCTTTCCTCTCTTCTAATGCGGCATGCTGTGATAGCAAAGTATATTGCTCTTCCTTTTTTTTGATAAGCGATAATGCTGACTGTATTATATTTTTGTCTTCAGCATTTAATTTCGGATTACTTAAAGATACTGCTCTTGATGAACTTATTGCTGTGATTCTTGATGCTAGATATGAGTTGTCTTTGAGTGAACTAATAGGAGTAGCTGGTACTTTATCTGATACAGTGTAAGATGAGGCAAAACTAGATTCAGAAGTTGCAGACAGTCTTTCGGCAGGTGTAGGTGTTGTTCCTGATTTTAGTAAGAGTTTCATTGTTAGCTGCGGTTCTGAAAAAAGTCTTCTCATGCTTTTTACTTCTTTAGTATTTGATTGGGATACAAAATTGGTTGATGATGCTTTATTAAGAACCGATTGCTTAGCAACATCCGTTAAATTCATTTTGGGGAATTCTGGCATCAACTGTAATGAAGTAGCTACAGATGTCGTGGACAGCAAATACTCCTTTTTCAAAACTTCAGTGGATGTTGTAATTGCTGCTTTAATCATTACTTCAGTTGGATAGTGAATTGGTTTCGAGAGTGCCTCAATATATGTTCCTGCACCATTGTTCAGATTTCTCTCAAGATCTGATAAACTTTTTTTGTTTTCAGGTTCTGTGGTAATTGTTTGCTTCTCATTTCGCGCAAATCCTGTGTTTGCGCCATACGAAAAAGATCCAGTTGCATCTAATTCTGAATTACGACATTCTATTCCTGATATTGTCATTACAGGAAACATCTCCTCATTTTTTTTTAAATCATGTCTTTTGTACAATTCAGCTTGTGTCAGACTCCCGGACGAAAGAGAAATTAATGTTGGTCTTGTAATTAAGTATACAGATGCGCCCATTTCTTCTACATTATCTAAAAATAACTGCTTCACCAAGACACCAAGAATTGATCTACAAGGGAATCAAAGCAAAAAACTATATTTCTATACACATTTTCAGCCTTCAAAACTTCCATGGACAAATTTTCTAAAATTTCACCTTAGTCTATAAATGAACTAAAGTGTGATTTGAAAAGTAGTTTCATGCAACTATTATTAACCGTTATCTGAATCTGAGATATTAAAAAACTTTATTTGCGGGTTTATGGCCACTTTTGAGTTATTCATTCCGCAATCGCTGGATTTATTCCTTTTATTGTTTGATGCTTGAACTAATACACAGTCATGCATCTATAAAACTGAATAGTTTACAACGTTGTTAAAATCATGAGAATAAACATGATTTTCCCAAGACTACTGTTTGCATTAACTTACTTCTGCTTCATTCAAAATAGCGGAATTTAGAGCAAGACATTGCTTTGCAGCATCAGCAATCTTCTTTTTTAGATTCATTACCTTACTGTGAATAGTAAAATTTAGCGACACTGATGCCATGCACCTGCAAGTTGTAGTTAAAAATTGTTATTCTTTCGACTAACATCTTCAAAATATTGTGTCTATAGTAGATCATACAAAAAAACTGCAAGGTCAGTTATTAATGTCTATTTGTTGCAGAAAAATTCTTCAGCCAAAAAATCATATTAAAATTTTAAGTGCTGTGCTGAATATAAAAACTGATATTTCATTAATTACAGTTCATTTAGATAGCTAAGTTCTTTATACAAAATTTTATAGACATATTCTCACATTGAATAGATGGGACAACAACTAAGCAAAAATGAGCATCGCTGAATCTGTAAGTCATAAAGTTCTCGACATTGGCTAGGCTTCACCATGATATCATCAATCAGATTCTTTAGATCCCATGAAGTTGACATCCCAGCACATGCGATTTTCTACAGTACATGCGGAAAATTTAGGTAATAAATTATGATTTGAGTCTTGAAACCATGATTTCATCGAATAAAAAGTGCATTTACTGCATTACTGTGAGCAACGAGGAAAGGGGAAAATCTGCTTTTGCTAAACATTTTTTCATTTACTGCATGATTGATTAATAATTAAACATTATTATAAATCAAATAATTTGCAACTTAATTAAATAATCACGATACTTTTGCTGTCATTTTAAGCCTATGTTTTTTTTTTTGGAACTTGCACTCACTTTTATATAACTTATGTCTTTGAAGGATGGATGTACAGCAAAAATATCAGTACATTTGAGGATAGCTGCATCTTCTTGTTGTTGAGCGAACTAAAAAAATGAGTTTTGACAGTCAAATTTTAAATTTCAATTCTTTTTATTTTTTGAAGAAATTATGAAAAAAATGACCCGATAATCTGCAACTTCTCGCGAAAGTCGAGTTTCACATCTACCCACTCGTTCTAATCGCCTAAACCAAAAATTGATGGCGTCTGTATTACCGCTATCAGCAATTATTGCAGCCACAGCTCCTCCAACACATTGCTCGTAGTCGTTTCTAGCACCAGTAATGCAAGAATGATAACGACGACAGTGGTTCTTCACACAGAAACAGAAATATATAAGTATATTTTTATTCTTGTATTTTTATATGATTTCTTAGATTCTTGCTTCTTTATAACGTGATAATAACTTTGTTTAAATATGTTAATTTTTATTGGTTTCTGCAGAACAAAAGTCACAAAATTTGCTAATGAAGCATTAACTTCTGCAGAACAAAAGTCACAAAATTTGCTAATGAAGCATTAACTAGTAAATTCATTTGCTGAAAACAACAACAGATCTTATTATGCAAATGCTTTTGATACTTTTTTGAACACGAATATTGGAACTCGTTGGCAATAAAATTTAAGATTTTTTCGTTTTATAACTGAAAACAATAATTTGCAGAGTTTTCCATACAGATCTAATTCATTACCACAAATTTTTAACATTTTATTCACATGAAAAAAAAAAGTAAGACTGAACATCCAGTAACAATACTTCATACTAACATTAGCTTCAGTCATATACATTAATATTGCAGCCGAAATAATCGTTAATGATTTCATTATTCCTAAAAAAATTTGAATGGAATTTAATTTTCAAAATACTTCAGACAGCGAGAACGTAACACGTTATCTAGAGTCATATATTTTATAGTCACATTATTGTAACATACACAGATCAGAAAAGTAAGAGTAACAGTTTCAAAAAGCTGAAATTTCGTTAATGATTGCTTAATTAAGAATAACAACAATAACACTAGTCTTAACATACTTTATCTCAGTGATAGAACTGATAATAAGTTCAGTTATTTCAAAATAATGATTGATTTAACTACCTGCTTACAAGTCATTTCCAAAGTATTTACTCTGCAAAAGCCACTGTATAACATGCAGTGATGATAATTGTCTTATCATAGTGATTGCAAGAAGAATTTGATTACTGGTAAATGTAATAGAAGAGATTTGTTTAGAGAAGAGCGCGGCTGTTGTGGAAAAGAAAAGGATATATTAATCATAGTTGACGTGACCTAATTAAAAAAGAGAAGAATTAAGATAGCATTCATTTGAGTCTTAACATACTTTATCTCAGTGATAGAACTGATAATATGTTCAGTTATTTCAAAGTTTTTCCCAGTCCTAAATTAAATATTTCTTGCAATGAATGCCATCAAGAAGCGTTGGAGAAATGTACAGTTTTTGATTCTCTTGCTATTATAGACAGCTATAGTGATTGTTCTTCAGATATGTCAATATGATATGGTTAAAAATTTTGATGCAGTCATCTGCAATGTAATAACACAAATTTGTAATTCGTAACTTTATTTCGAAATTTATTTTTCTGACCTGAAAACACTGGCAAACATTTGGTGCAGAAAAGTAAAATAAGTTTTACCACACTTGTTCTAGTTTGAATTTTTAGTACAATTATCCAAATGTAAAATAAAGTTTGTAGAAATTTGTCCAAAACTATCAACAATAAAACTGATGAAAAATTTTCTGAAACATATGTTATCATCACGGCTTAGTGGAAAGTAATTATCATTATTATTTGTCATTCATTAAATTAAATGAGTAAATTAATAAGGATAAAAAAATTGTGATGCCTTGTTTTTTTCTGAACTTGGTTCTTCAACGTCGTTGATTTTGAACTCAGTGACATAAATGCACTGGTTTTACTGATTACACAGTTTAATTTTCAGTACAAAATTCAATTTCTGATGTGGCATAAATTTTGTGCCATATTATATTAAACTTATTTTATCAGTGAAACCCTTCAGCACTGTCGTTGTCTGAATCCAGTCTGATTTAATCAGACTTACACAAGCCTTAAATCTGTGAAATTTGTGCTAATCTGATTAAATTTTTAACTTGTATTTTAAACTATCAAGTTCGATTTCAAGCTTATTCAAATTTCAGCTGTCTGAGATATTTTATCATTGCAATTTTTAATAAAATTATAAACAGTCCTTTTAAACTAATTCATACTCATAAAGAGATTTAATTCACCTTTGTAAATTGAGAGTTCATTCATGAATGAGAACCGGTTTTGGCCAATAAATATATTTTACATGTTTATTGTACCAAAAATCTGGGTTTTTTAAAGTGTGGCATGAATATCTGAGCAGTGCAAAAAGACAAAGGAAATGGTTGCCAAAGTGTCCTTTCAAATGCATTCATTCAGAGAAAAATTTTCTAACAACCATTATTTATGTAACGATAAAATATGACAGCTGACAATAAACAATTGCACATCTAAAATGAGTATTTAAAATCAGTTTTTAAATACGGATTATACTCAGCCACGTAATAAATGTTGATTTTTTAATATGCGCCTATATTTTGTGGCAGCAAAAAAGCAAATAAAGAAAATGGTGTAGAAAATATAATTATTGTTTCTCGTTTACCATTTCAGTCGTAGCTAGTAGTTTAGTGTCGCAACAATATTTATACACGGCAATAGCAGCAGCCGCAATAGCAACAGCAGTCAGTGGTAGTAGTAGCAGCAGTAACAATGCCTACGTGTTTGGTCAACATTTAGGTCATGAGGTGATTGAACTGTACGAATGTGGCACATCACATTACATACAAGCATGCACTCATACGTACAGACAGATGCACATAACAGAATTTTTACTAGGTTGTTTCATTTCCGATTTTTCATATACTGTTTCAGCCTAACCTGCTGAAAGTAATTGTATCACTCATCCAGTTTAATTATGCTTACAATGCTTCGTACATCCCTTACCAATAGACAACTCACCATCTCTTGTTTCTTGTTGTTTTGCATAATATCCGCAGCTTGCAACAGTTTACAACCTGCGCTGGGAACAAAATGCTTGCAAAATCAGGTAGATATTCATCATTTTGAATGCTGTTCCTGCATTTCAGCCTTAGGAAGAATAACTTTTGATCTAACTTTTTTATTTTTCGAAATTTACTCTGAGTCCTATCCTTCGAGTTGAAGTACCTTTTTTCAAACTCCTTTCTTGTTCTGCACAGTTAAAAGAAAATAATAAAACGAATTAAGTGTCAGTAAAGTATGTAGTTAGCTTTTTGGGGTAAGAAAAAAGTCGAAAAAAAGTTAATTTATTCCTTCACATACCGTTTATAATTCTTTTTAAAGTACTGCCATCATCGTCACTTCTAAACCAAATTTGATGCTATCTGAAAGCTATTGCTTTGATCTGCTTAGAATTGCAAAATACATTTAATGGTCTATTCAAAAAATATTTCATTTTGAGATAGCACGAAAATTTAAAAATTACCTACCTTAATAGCTAACCTGCCAGTTTTGAGGTTCTAGGTTCTCAATATTATATGATAGCAGCATAAAAATTATACAGTTTCATATACAACTGGCCTTTCTCAGTTATTTTTTAAAATATTTTTGCTTCCTCATGCCTTAATTTCTTACTGTTGACTACAAATTCCGTTTATGCCTTTATTTTAATTATTGAAGTTATCATTTAACGGATATTTAAATAAAAACGTTTCATTACTCGCAAAATAAAATCTCAAGACTTTGATTTGCACTATTTATCTCAGTTCAATACATCTTGGATAATCCTAATTTCTTTTAATCTCTAGTGTTTCTCGAATCCAATACTTTTTTACAACTAGTAAGCTTCCATAATAATTGTTTAGCAAAATGAAGCCAATACTAAATCACTGTAATAATTAAAACGGGATCAACTTCATGGATTTTTCATAGGTTGTAACAAAAGTAACAGTTTTCGAAGATGGAGCAATTGAAGCAGAATGTACGAAGTTACCATGTGGCTCATCTGGAACTCACTGCAAAGAGAATCAGACGAGTTGCAAGGCTGAAACAGATACGTTTTCTGGAATGAAATGGGCTTCGAATGGACAAAGGTTGTTAGTCAACCTTTAAATTTGCTCATTCGATTTTCATTCCGAACTGTCATAAACAAGTGCTTACTCGTGAACTTTCATTATTAATAGAATTCGTGCAATATTATTTTTGCGATCAAAGTAATTAAGAGATTTTCTGAGGTTTAGCAAACTTTCGTTCAAAACCCTCAATAAAGTTTTGCTTTGAAATTCATTTCTTTTAGAATGACTGGTTTTCATCGAAGATTTATGGATAAGAAGTTTTTTCTAGACTCATGAAAATAACTCACTACTTTATTCATTCTTCATTCTTCATCTTTAGATCAAATAATGACATAATTATGAAGGAAAAAAATGTCTTCTTTGTAGTATTCTCCAGCGTTGCTGCACCCTTTCTGTATCCCGTAAAATATATGTTGGTACAGATTTAGTATCCCTGGGTTCATACTACATTGGTGGCAAAGTAGACAAGAAAGATTTTTATGGAAAAGAAGGAACTGAGTTTGATTTCGTATCAAACATAAGGACCGAACAGTATGACCTATTTTATTATTATTTTGAATGTTCGAAACAGAAGTAAAATTGGTATCACTGATTTTTTTCAGGCTTCAGGCATCTAGTAACTAAATCAATTTATTGTAGTATCATGTAAAAAGAAAGTTTTATAGGGGCGGTATTCGAGTTTGGGTGCATCGAGTTTTATGTCTTAAAACTAAGGCCACTTCTAGCAAATCAACTGTTGAACCTCATCATAGAGAATTTGTTGAGGAACAAAGGTTTCGATTCCACACTTTTTATTAACACAAGTAACATTTTTGTGAAGACGGTGGTCAACATTTTTTTAAAAATTATTTCTAGCTTCAATTTGAACTGCAAGAAACAAGTCATTTAGTGTTTTATCCTTCACTAATTTTTAAAATTCCTCTTTTTTACTATTCAGAAAAATATGCCGCCTGTTCTGAGACAGTTCTCTTTGAGAGAAGCTGAAATTGAGGATTTCCTTTAATCCGCTACTTTTTAAAAATATTACATAAATTTTCAATGACATAGTTAAATAAACAAATGAATGAATTGCAGTATCGAGAGAAGACCTACTGCATTTGAAAAACATCGACAGCATCTTCAAAAGTAATATTTTTCATCTAGGAGTAGTTTTATTGAACACAAATCAAATTTTCAATTTTATTTTTCAAGTTAATTGATAAAACTGATTTTAATAATTTTCCATGCGTATCTTTGAGTCATAATAACAAAAAAGAGTTTTATTGCAATTAAGTTTTTTCCAGCTTGCGAAGATTTTCGGTATTTTTGACTCTCGTTTTCATTTCAAGGTTTTTATAACTATCAAATAATTTATTATTCACTGATATGTACTTTTAATTCTTCCCAGCACAGTCAGTACTAACAAAAACATAGTTTATGCAGAATGGCATAAAAATTGTTATCAGCAAAATTTGGAGTTAATTTTTGCTTCGCTTCTATTCGTTCATATTTAATTTTTATGAATGCCATCCATAATACAAATAATTTACTTTTTCCAGCCATTCTTATTCCAATTATAATAAGCTTAGAACTCTTCGTACTTCAAATGTAAAAATACTAGTGATTTCAAGACAGTTTCAGACAGCAATCAGCTTACGGCACTATTCACAATGATGGAAATAGTAGGGCTAATGGAAGATCGCTTGATTCATTTAAGCTTTTTAATCCCCTTCAATACCGTCCAGTCAATATTCGTAAAGAACAGAAGGATTCACGAATGGTTATCAACAACAGACATCAATTTGAGAGATTAATTTGACAATCCTTGAACGAATAAAATAACAGCAAATGAAAAGTGTCTACATTTAAGTATATATATTGTTCTTCAGTGTTTCAAACTCGGTATCACTAACACATCATATTAGCAAATAAACGATCTCTTAGTAATCTTTGTAAATTTATCTTGATGATGTGCTGATAGGTCAATGATATGTCTAGAAGTCACACTTATAATTGCACTTTTATTTCAAATATCGTTAGCAAATGATATTTAGCCAAAATCATTTTCTCACGTGAATGACACTTCACCTCCTTAACAATTTACTAAGATGAGAAAAGTAAAGTGAAATAAAACTTTATTTTGTTAAATCGAAACCGAGGCTCATGAACCTGATTATTTTATTAATTTTTTTTTCAAAATAATAAGTATATGAATAATATATTTATAGTTATGAATAAGATACTTATTAGTTCATGCTTGTGATGAGATGATTGCAGCTGTTTTAATGAATGATTCCAATTTTACTACAATTTTTGTTTTTTAAAGCAACTCATAGTGAATTCACAATTTACAATGCAAGAAAATTTGCCGAGATGAAATGAAATGAACACAGTCAGTTCGATTACTTTGTTATTTTGAGTATTGTTTATCCTCGGTTAAAAAATTTACGCGATAGCATCAGCAGTATTTTTCTGCGAAATCATGTTGGCTCGGGAAACAAAGTGAACAAACAAAGGCGTAGAAGAAACACATGCTTGGATATATATACACGTATACAGACAAAGTAAAAGACCAGATAACTTATTGTTTGGTCTTTTTACATTATTTCTGTAAATGTATTTCACTATGATTCAGACAAAAACTAGCGAATATATTATATATATATATATATATATATATATATATATATATATATA